AGGGCCTCTCTGATGGCCATGGAGCCAGAAGGGACATGACATCAGAAGGAATACATGTACATCAAACTTTAGCAATGTTGCATATACAAGACACATCTGTATCTATTGAAATTTATTCCATAACAGTTAACGGTTTTCACAAAACATGCAGATGTTGGCTATGTTTTGTAAATTTCTATGTAAGCATTTCAAGTTTTTTTAACCTGATAAACATACTTTAAATGTTTTGCTATTAAATTTTCCAATGAAAACTTGAATTGCTTATTATAAATGTATCAAAAGGAAATTGTTTGAATATTAATCTTGTATATATATATATATATATATATATATATATTACTGCTAAATTCATTTATCAAATTAGTATGCTATGCTTCCTGAAAGCAGAGGTACTTTTTAGATTTGTATGCCATTTCTCTTCCATGCCTATTGCACTCAATATAATTTCAATGTGATGCCCAATAGAAGCCATGGAAGCAGATATGCCTGACTTTGTCATAACACTGGAGGTCAATGTAGTTCTTCTACATTAAGTATGAATGTATCAGCTGTAAATAAACTTCCAGCAGACAAATCTAAATGCAAAGTTAAAATGGCTCTGTCATACTAACTTCCCTTTCTATCTTACCTGGTTGTGAGTTTATTAATAATTAATATTTTAATGAAGAGAATTAAGGAGAATGAAGTAAAACAAACTTCAATGTATGGCTGGGCACTGATGGCTCATACCTGCAACACTAGCTATTCAGTAGGCTGAGATATGAGGAGTGTGGTTCAAAACAAGCCATGCAGGAATGTCTGGTGAGACTCTTCAATTCAGCAAATATATACACAAAAAATCCAGAAGTAGAACTGTGTTTCAAGTCATAGAATGTTAACCTTGAGCAAAAATGCACAGGGACAGTGCTCAGACCCTGAATTCAAGCCCCAGGCTGGCCCACAAAAAAATATTTCTTCAAGGTATATCCTACAAAATTAAGAAAAGTGTGGGAAGGGAAGGGGGGTGGTTTGAGAGTCATGAGTGCAAATGTTGAAATGGGTAGACATTGACCAACATGCATTGTATTTGTTAACTACTTTAAGGAATGGCAACTCCTTGGTTCAACTATTTAAAAGCAGTAAAAATACTTTTTAAAAAGTGTTAGCTGGCATTGGTGGCTTGTGCTTATACTCCTAGCTACTCAAGAGGCTGAGATCTGAGGATCCTTGTTCAAAGCCAACCCAGGCAGGAAAGTCTGTGAAACTCTTATCTCCAATTAAAAACCAAGCAAGCAAGAATTGGAGCTGTGGCTCTAGCCTTGAGCACAAAAGCTCAACAACAGTGCCCAGGTCCTGAGTTCAAGCCCCCGGACTGGCATAAAATAACAAAGCAAACATATTGTTTTTATTAAAAGATTTCTCTTGCATCTATTGAAATGATAAGACCATTTATATAATGAATTGCCAGGTTGATAAAAAGGATTTATATGTGCAGTTCAAATTCTTTGTATGGTGTATCAATCTTTGCACACCTCTTGTCATATCCAATTTGTCAAGATTTCCATGAAGGCTTGTCTCTAATGAATATTTTTTTCTTGTGAAAATACTGTACAGAGGGGTTACAATTACATGGGCAAGATAATGAGTGCATTTCTTATCAAGCATTGTAGCCTCCTCCTTTGTTTCCCCTTTCCATCCCTTCCCATCCTCCCCCTGCCCCCCCAATCCTCCCTACACCCTCTCCCCTTCCTCCCTTCCCCACCCCCCGCACCAAAGTTGTAAAGTTTGTTTTCGACATAATCTAATGAATATTTTCTTATAGTTTGGCAAACTACAGGGGTTTTTATTCACTTAGTGGTTTTTTTCCCCCCTGGTTGTGGGCCTGAACTCTGGGCCTGGGCACTATCCCTCAGCTCTTCAGCTCAAGGCTAGCTAGCATAGCACACTACTGCTTGAGCCACAGCACCACTTACGGCTTTTTCTGCTTATGTGGTGCTGAGGGCCTCATGCATGCAAGGCAAGCGCTCTACCACTGAGCCACCTTCCCAGCCCGGTGTTTTTATTCTTATTGAGCTATTGTTTGAATCAGGAATTCAGGTCCTTACAATTACTAGACAGATGACTTACCCTTCATGACTCTGAACATGATCTAGTTGAGTGAGGGTTTTATCACATGTTTATTCCTTTCAGTTTTCATGTCTTTGAAGGTGAGGGGAATAAATGCAGGCTTTCACACACTGCTTCTATCTATAGGACTTCTCTGAATTCTTCATGATTCTGAAGGTAACCTTATCAACTGAAGGCTTGCATACACTGCTCACACAAGGTTTTGCTCCAGTGTTAGTTATTTCCTGTCTTTGAAAGTCACTAGAGGAAATGAAGGTTCTCCCATACTACTTGAATTTCATCCACAGGGCTTCTCTTTCGAGTGAGTTCTTGCAATGAACATTTGTATCAGATGGGATTTGTGGGAATTTCAGGAAGAGACCACCTTCCCCAGTCCCATCCAGCCCTGGAAGTGCCGCCATATGGATAAACAAGGTGACTCCATTAGACAGGATGCACTGAAAGGTGCCTGAGTGCCATGCAAACTGCAATGCCAGGTTGCCTGCCAGTCACAGGACTGTGTGCTGGCCTCTGTTGCTTGTGCTCTCCTATGCCCTGGGCCTGGGATGACACCTGAGTGGGTGGGTGCACAGAAGACCTGACTCTGGGCCCAACTTCGCCACTCACTACCTGCATCAATGATGCCCAATCAGAAGCCTCCGTTTTGGTGGTCTGTGCAATGGGAGGAGGGACTGGGCCTCCTGCACAGACTGTGAGGAGTCAGGTGGCACTGGACACAGCGCCATGCAATGTCACCACTGTCATTAAGCATCACTGACAGGAGGCACACATGCTGCCCCATCCCTGCAGCCAATGAGTGACATTCTAGCTTGCCATCAACTGTGACATTCTTGGTGAGCCTGTCTTACAGGGCACTGAGAGGTCCAGCCAACTCTGGGAACCAGAAGTGCCCCCCAGAGGGTGCAACAAGGACCAGCCACAACTTTGAGGACCAGTCCTAGCACTCACCTTGGTCTGGCCCCAGTTGGCTGCATTCTGTGCATATGCAGCAGCAGCATCCATCACAAGGCTTGCTCCTTGTGCTGCTCTAAGAGCTGTCAGGCCTCCTGTGCCTTCTTCAACAGCTGTATTGGAGCCATAGCTGGGTCTGCTGTGCCTCATCCTCCAACCTGGCAGCCTCTTCCACGATAGGGCCCTCCAAGGCTTGGAGCAGCTTCCACTGCTGCTCATCTGGGCAGTGGGACCAGTCCTGTTCCAGAGCCAGCTGTTCACATGTAAACTATAGTTTGTCAGTAAATTTTATTTCCAAATGATACCTATTTGTCCAACCCCAGATTATTCATAAAAACTAAGTTCAGTATCATGTGTTCTGTGGTCTCTTAGCGTGTTCTGCTGACAGAGGGTATATCGATGTTTCCTTGAAGAGAATGGGTCATAATTTTCCACATGCTATTTAGACATTGAAATTCAGAAGAATTCCATCTCATATAGTGGCCTATAATTTGACATTCATCCAACTTTCTCTCCAATTATTTTGCACGTTTACTTCTTTCACGGCAATTCATCTTCCATGTACTTCTCACAGGGAGTGGTGATGTTCTTACACAGTTGTGAAGTTCTTAATCAGTTTTTGATTAGCTATATTTTTGTCAAGATCTGGAACCATTTCAGAAGTCTTCTGACATCAAACTAGAATATATTTATTTTGATGGAAAATCAACACTCATTGAAACCAAACCATTTGGATATGTTTTTATTTGTACTAGAATTATATTAATCAAGCCATAGTAGTAACATTAAGGCAGGCTTTTCTCTATACATTTCAAGCTCTGAAGTGGTTTGTATCTCAATAAGTAAACACATTTGCTAACAGCATAACACATTATGTTTCACTTATCTCTACTTTTGTCCCTTATAGATATTGCCTTCAAGACAAATAGACACTGAAGTCTAGATTTTCATCTCTTTGTATAATAAGAAACCAGCATTATCTTTCAATGAGAGGTAATAGTTATATAAAAATGAACATCAAATATAACCAAAAACATTGTTTTACTTAAACTTTTCTTTCATTGACTAGTCAGTGCTTATAGTTTTGTTTCCTGCTGTGTAGTTTATAAGACCAAGTAAAAACAGGCAGAACTGATTGGTTGACAGCTCAACAGCTCTCCTTTGCCTTCTATGGTGACAAAAATGAGAATTTGACAAATCCTGATCAAAGAAGTAAGGGATCTTGTGGAGGGAGCTATAACCCTTGTCTAGAGAGCTATAGAGTTGATCCTTTAATGGGCTATTTGGGTTTTTTTACATTTTTAATAATGACATTAGTTACATATAGGGGGAACATGTGATTGGTTTATTTTGTACTTCAACATGAAAATACTACAAAACTTATTTCTTAGAGGAAATGTACATGTATTTACTTGTTCCTCATCTATTTCTCCTTCCAGAAATGCACCTAAACATGGCAGGCCAGAACACCTGAAATGACCATGGCAAGCAATCTGAGAATACTATCAAGTAGGAAACTTTAGGCTCCAATAAAATAAAGCAAGATGTTTTTAATGTGTGAAAATATTTCCCTTTTCTTAAAGTAATATGAAGGGGTTTTATTTTTTCTTTAAAAAAGGAATATTCTAAATAACTTTGCATTCCTAAGTGAGGAAGGGACTTGAAAGAACTAGTAAGGTCTCGAGTCTAGTGATCACTCATTCCCATTGGAACTCTTTTCTCATTTGCTTCTACTATCTCTATCCCATTCTAGACTTACCGATTTGCTTGGCATCAAGTTTTTGTTTTTGTTTTGGTGTGGGGCATGGGACTTGAACCCTGGGCCTGGGCACTGTCCCTCAACTCTACAGCTCAAGGCTAATGCTCTACCACTTGATCCACAGTGCTACTTCCAGTTTTCTGGTGGTTTACTGGAGATTAAAATCTCAAGGGCTTTCCTTCCCTGGGCTGGCTTTGAACTGCGATCCTCAGATCTCAGCCTCCTGAGCAGCTAGGATGGCAGGTGTGAGCAATGGTGCCAGCTGGGATCAGGTTTAATGGCTATAGGGAAACCAAACTGGAAGAAGAATCATATTTTCTCTCTAATACCTTCCATTCTGTTAAAAAAACAAAATCTTCTAAATACTCTAAAAGATCAATGTGTCCATGCATATAAAGGTATTGGTGTCCTGTGATTCAAATATCAAAGCTGAAATAAAACTAAAATTAAAAAATTAATGAAGCCAGAAAATGTGCCTAGCAATGTCTGACATTAAAAAGATTCCACAACAAAATTAAGCCAAATAAGAAAGACATAAGTAAGGCTGCCATTAGCCCTAAATAGGGAGGAAGAAAAGAAATTAGGGTTAAATAGAGAAGAACAACTGCATTCATGTAAAATAACATAAATTTGAGATCCTGTACAGGGAGATTATAGACAGCTCTTTTAATTCTCATAAAATCATCTATCTTCATTTACACAAAAGCAGGGATGTAATTAAAGACTATTCAATTCAGATAGGCAGTGTTTGACACTTTGTGATTGATGCCTTTATTGATACGGAACCACACTGGGCTGGTGTGTGATGTAGGTAGGCCTCCATGGAGGCAGTAGTGATGGGCAGAGCTGCTCACGGCCATCACTTGTGGTGTGGGTAGCTCTAAGAGTGGGAACTGAGAAATGATATTTAGAGCTAGGTTTGAGGTCTTCTAAAATACAAACTTCAAGTCTTGTTTTACGATTATTATTTTATTTCTGAAAAAAGAAAGCCAGGTAGTGAAATCATTGACAACAATGTTTAGTAGAGGAACCTGTAAAACAAAGAATTTTCAAGATGTAATGTGTTACAGGTTTGCGTTAGAGTGCATACTTCCATAGTAAATGACTATAGGGGAGTCAGTGGTTGATGGCATATACACCTGGTTTCTGAGACTGGCTGACAGCATTGTTGTCCACTATTTGTGAGCACATGGGAAAAGTACTTGTGCGTATAACAGAAATATTGAGAGTTTTACATTTCTAAATAATGCTCACTCACTCTTTTTTAAACCATATTTGTTAATTTTTTTTCTTTTTTGCTCCAGAAATGATCTGGGAGGCTGCTAGATCTTTTCCTTATGAGAAACATTATGAATATACTGATAGAACATGAGAAAGGAGGATATGGCTTCGTGTTTGTGTGTGTGTGTGTGTGTGTGTATGTTCACTTTTCTAGGTGCTTCCCATTCAATTAGTCTGACTTCAGACCTTCCATAAAATCTAAAATCCATTTGAGAATTTCTACCAAAAATTAAGATACGTGTTTTAGAATGCTTGGTGACTGCTCATCACCAATTGATCATCTAGTCCAAAAAGTTGTACATATAAGTTTCACATAATCTTTTTGTTTCATCCATGGCTCAATGCACATTATCACTCTAACAAAATCATAAAACAAGTCAAACTTTAATTTCACAATCATCTGGCATAGAGATGAGGAGAGAAAAATGACTTGTCCCCTTAAGAGAAGCAGGCAGGTCCAAATCCCCAGGAGGGCTTTTTTAATAGTCTGCATCCAAGGCTTTGCTGATTCCCTCAAGAAAGTTGTACTTCCTTTTCCCCCTCAACTTTTAATAATCCAACCTGTGGTTGCTGGTGAGAATAACATGTATTTCACAGTAGAAAACCATTGAGCATGTATGCTATCTATATTTGCCTTTGGGACCTAACAACCTACAGAAGGATTATTAATTATCTGAAATAGGACACAGGCACTGTGAAGATGTTTTGTTGATACTATTCAGTGAGCATTTTTACCTTAAAGTGTTTCACTATCATCAACTAACACAATACCTACCATAAAAGACTTTCAAAACTACTTTCAATGATAATCATTATTTCTTCTAAGTATCTCAGTGGGTCCTCAGGACATGTAATAAGTCTACTGCATAACAGTGCCTAGAGCAAAAAGGAAACTGAGTTATTGCTTCTGAATTTGCATGTTCTGTGTCTGCAATAAATGAACTTTCCTATATAGTTAAAAAGCCAAACAATATGAAAATTTTAAAGCAAACATACTTTTTACATTTTTATTCAGTGGTGATAGCTGGAGATGTTTTTCTATAATCAAGTAAGTCAAGTATACCTGCATGTTTCTAAACTTACAGCACAAATGAAACAACAGAGTTGTAGAGTATTTTACATGATGTGAAAAGTAAAATCTCAGAACAAATTTGACAAGAGAGTTATGCTTTACATCAGTGGTTTCTACTCTTTTTAAGTATCAGGAAAACATTCTTTGTAACTAAAAACTTCCTCAGACTTAACCACAAATGTGGTTCAGTGGGAAGGTGCTGAACTTAAATTCCTGAAGCCCTAGATTCAATTAACAGCATGTGTGCGCATGCACGCACGCGCGCGAGCGCGCGCGCGCGCGCACACACACACACACATCCCTTGACTGAATTTTATCAAAGTTTACTCTAACATAGTTTGATTATGCAAGTTGCATTTGTTGTCACCTATTATCCACAACACACACACACACACACACACACACACACACACACACACACACAGAATCTATTTATTGGGAATATTTCAGTTCAGTGCATTTAAGTGGTCAACAGATGACTTAATGTATCAAAGCTAATATTTAAACTGCATGTATAGATTACAGAAAGCTGTTGCTGTGTTGCTTCTATCCAGTCTTCAAATACATATGGACTGATCGAATATGTCTTCATTTTAGACAGAGACAAAGGTTTATAGCTCATAACATACAGAAACCACCTAGAAATCCCCATAGGAACTTCTCTGGTTCTTCTCCCACCTAGAAATCATACCAGGCTTTCTCCTGCTCCTCTGAATAAAATATTCCCACCCCTTGAGTTAGGCAGAAGCAGTAGTTTTCCCATCTCCATGGGCCAACTATCAGCAGACTTAAGCCTAGGGGCTTTATCAGTTTTCACAGCATCCTCAGGAAGGACAGGAGGAAGGGGGCTGGAAAGATATAGAGGGAAGGGGGAGAAAGGGGAGAAGAAAGAAGAAGAGGAGAAGGGAGGGGAAGGCAGGGAGACAGAAGAGAGGGAAGAAAAGAAATGTGGAGAAAAAGAAGGGGAAGGAGAAAGGAAGAAGGAAGAGAGGGGGAGAAATCTAATTGAATCCTACATAATACAATTCAACCCTTTTCAAAAGTTCTGCCTGCTCTTATGCAGTCTGCAAGTTGGGAATCCACCTCTTAAGACAATGGCAAATATCTTAGATTCAGACATTAGATCCTTCCCCAGCTCCACCTCTTTTTCTTTTTCTTTTTTTTTTTTTTTGATTGGTTGTGGGGCTTGAACTCTGGACCTGGGCTCTGTCCCTGAGCTCTTCAGCTCAAGGCTAGCACTCTACCACTTGAGCCACAGCAGTACTTCCAGCTTTTTCTGTTTATGTGGTGCTGAGGGATCGAACTCAGGGCCTCATGCAAGTGAAGCAAATACTCTACCACTGAGCCACCTTCCCAGACCCCAGCTCTACCTCTTGTCCTAGCCTCATCCCCGCTGCCCTCAGAGATAGCTCCATCATCTGCAGACTGATGTGTTTTCCTCCAAGCAAGTGGCCTGGGTGGCCAATATCTGTAGTGTGTGTGTGTGTGTGTGTGTGTGTGTGTGTGTGTGTGTGTGCGTGCGTGCGCGCACGTGCATGTGTGTCTGGGTCTTGCACTCAGGGCCTGGATGCTGTGCCTGAGCTTTTATGCTCAAGGCTAGCACTCTACCTTGAACTACAGCCACTTCCAGTTTTTTGATAGTTAATTGGAGTTAAGTGTCTCAGAGACTTTCCTGCCTGGGCTGGCTTTGAACTGAAATTCTCAAACATCAGCCTCCTGAGGAGCTAGGATTACAGGTGGGAGCCACTGCGCATGGCTACATCCTCTTTCTATACAGACCAAGCCAGAGGCCTTTATGAGAAGCTCACAGAAACCTCTGAGATTGGATCTAGAAAAGCCCTTCGATTACTCTGAACTCTTAGGCTAAGATGGCAAAAGTATAGCTTCACACCCAGAGAGAAACATATCTAATAATTGCATTCAGAGCACTTTCTACTCACTCTATGGGCATTCTGAACACAAAAGATTTCTGACTGGACCAATTAGAGGCATAACCTATCTGCAGATGAGATTTTGAGGGGTTGGAAGCCACTGCAAAGGTGTGTGTGCAAGGTGATGGAGCTGGAAGGGAGAGAGACGGTACAAACCACTCCTGTGGTGGGGATATCCTTAACTCATTTTCTCATCTTCAGTCTCCATTCACTCAAGTCAACAAAGATTACATCAATTCGCATCCTATAAATATTTTTGTTTTCTTGATAGGGCTGAATGACCATGATCATTCAGCTCATTCTGGCTTGAACTTACATCAGCAGTTCCAGCAGGGACACACTTACATGCAAGATAAGGTACTGGGTGCTGAAAATGATAAATGATGCTTAGGTGAATTACACAATTTCAGACATTCAGGAACTTACAAACTAGTTTGGAAGACAGGAGCTATTTCAGGTACCTAGATATGCTATAGTGTGAGACATACTGAAAAAGAAGCCTAATAGGAAAGAGGAATTTAGGAATATAGTCTGTTTCCTTGAATATTATACTTGCTTGTCCTCAATGCATTTGAAGCTGAAGAATACAAAGTTGAAAGGGAAAATTCAACTGCCACTTCACCATAAAGAAATTAAAAGGGCTCCAGTGGCTCACTCCTTTAATCCAAGTTACTCAGAGGACTAAGACTTGAAGATGAAGGTTCAAAGCTAGTTAAGGCAGGAAAGTCTGTGAGATTCTATCTCTAATATCTCTAATTAACCACTAAAAAGCCAGAAGTAGAGCTGTGCCTCAAATGGTAAGGCACCAGCCTTAAGTGAAAAAGTGAAGGGACAGTGCCTACGCCCTGAGTTCAAGCCCCAGTATTGGCATAAACAAACAAACAGAATGGTAGAAAGATACATTTTTAAAAAGGGCTCTCCTCTGCTTGTGGATGAAGTCACTTGGTACAATTTTCTATCACCTTCCTTTGGCATTAATAATGTAACAGAAGCACGATACTCATTAAATCCACCACCTTTTTCATCATTCTGCAATACAGAATGTAAGCTTTTCTAGGATCACAAATTGTTAAAAATGTAGATGATTTTACCCTGGAGAATTCTCTGACTGTATTATTTTAAAAGAGAGGGAGATGGAGAGGGAGGGAGGGAGGGAGAGAGAGACAGACAGACAGAAACAGAAAGAGAGAGAGAGAGAGAGAGAAGAGAAAGAGAGGCTGTAGCTGTCATCCCTAACAGATTGCCTTGTTGCTGTTCCTGCTAACTTGTGAGAGAAGAAATATTTCCATTGAGTTTCAATTCTCAGTCTAAGTAAATAAGGAAGTGATATGGCTGAATTCCATTCTGGTGGCTTAATATTTCTTTGGCTGAGGGAGCTGTTGTTTGCAGAAATAGTTCTGGGATAACTGAAAGGGGAAGAATAAAACACTGATGTGAAGATGGTTACTGTTTTTTGTTTTATTCCAATTATACTGGAATATTAATGTTTTGTTTCCTATAATTAAATATGTGCCAAGCTGCATTTATAGCTCATCCAATTCACTCTGCCTGTACTGTCAAATTGGAAAATGGAGGACAGCCTACAAATGGACACACATATTAACAAAGTGATATTCTGAATTGGCAAGGAGAAAAGCAAGAAAATGAAGAGCAGATTGTTAGCATGAATCTATCCAATGCAAAGAACAAGCAAAGTTGTTCTGCTTGAACTCAAGTATAGTTACAGGTATTTGTAACATTAAAAAAATGTCCATGATAGTCAAACAGATATGACCATTTTGAGGAACATTGACTTAAAAGATTGAGATTAAAATAATCCATATTCCTCCAGTAGGATATCGGAGCCACCACACAGCTCCTAATTAACATTTGGATAGTCAGCTCAACGTATTTTCTGGTACACGGTGAAAGACCTTCAGCAGTTCTTAAGAGCTTTGCTTTAAATTTAAAGTTATTTTTATTGTATCTGTGATTTCAATCATTTTTACCATAAATACTTGCTAAATACTGCAAGTAAAGGACAAAAACAGATAAAACAGGTTTAGATTTATCATCTCTCCACTCACATTTTTTTTCTGTAGCCTGAAATACCTTCCTGTTCTTTAACCCAGTAGATGAACAACTCCTCCAAATTATATGGCCAGTACATGCATGGCTTGCATGATAGTCACACAATTGTGTGCGTTTGTGTGTTGGGGGGGGAGGTTATGTGCTGATACTGGGGCTTAAACTCTGGGCCTAGGCACTGTCCCTTACCTTTCATCACTCAAGGCTAGCATACTTTACCATGTGAGCCACAGCTCCTCTTCAAGGGTTTATTTGGTGTTAATTGGAGATAAGATTGCCATGGACTCTCCTGACTGGGCTGGCTTTGAACTCTGATCCTCAGACCTCAGCCATCCGAGAAGCTATGATTACAAATAGGAGCTACCAGTACCAGATACAGGTCTACTCTTGTAATCCCATAATCACAGGATCAGGTGGCTAAGTGGTTAGGAAAATGGGTCTCCAGTCAAGAGTAGTCTTAGCACTAGTTGAATACTGAGCTCAAATGGCCTTAGTTTTTGTATCTGTTGGAAAAGGTTGTTAACAGTAACTACCTCATAGAGTAGTTCTGAGGATTAGATGGATGTGAGTAAATTATAAGCCATGCTGTCACTATTATTTTACCTCCTAGTTGCTTTTCAATTATGTGCTCCTGTCCCTCACTCACTATCCTTTTAATCTAAATGGTTTTTCCTAATGCCAATCTTACCTTCCTTTCATATATTCAAACACTGTCTATTAGAGATGGTGGTTTTAAACACAAATTCAAGCCAGTCAAACAAATTGAAGTCTATGGGTGGCTGGGCACTGATGGCTCACACTTATAA